AGATTCCCATGCCGAAGACCAACAAGTGGCAGAATTCGATTCCATACTGTGAATGTGATATCATTTGCCTTGGACGATAATTACTCCGGACCATCCTGTGTTGTATAAAGACCGCCGATCACAATAGGCCATGTCATTCTAGGGTGGTGATTGGCCAGTTGTCCGATAAATGCCCGTCTACAGTAGTACGGCTACAGAATAATACAAGAACCTGGAAATAATGTATAGAAACCTGCTTACATATTATAATGTCATCATTATGATCCTCCAAGGTCCGTATAATCCTCCTTATGGCAAGCTGCGGTGAGCCTTTTCTCTCTAGTGGATAATCTTATAACTACAAGGTGCCCAAGGATGGAGTAATTCTGGAACCTCGGGACCCTCGCAGGAACATTATTCAACTGGTCAACAGTCCCACCTCGTCTAAGCTGTACAAAGCATACAAACTATAGCGGAACCATGCGCTTCAACCCCTTACATGATATCCAACATAGAAGGAGATAAGGCCACCTTTTTGCACTTTCGGGAAGCCGAGGACGATATAAGAGAGATCCATCTCGGTATTCCGTACTCCGTACTGTCCAAATGCTATCCATAAACAGTTGAAGCTGTGAAAAAATCGATTGGATCGGATATCAACTTTCTAAGCGGAGATGGATACTCAGTGCAGCCTAGCGGTGTCCACTCTATATTAAAACGGTTAACCAGGGCAAGAAATCCCTCATCTTCGATTTAGTGCACATGTCAATCAGCGCCATAAAGTCAGGCATCAAAGCCGACTTGACCTAACTCCGTACCTGGTCAAAGGCGTACATATGTACTTCGCTTACGGTCCGAGGCTTGGGATCCATGTTAATATTAGAAGTCATAGCAATATCTGGAATGAGGGGTCACTGAGTAGATTTTCATGGTGGCCCCATGGTGGTCTTGTCTATTCTTCATAGTTCGGAGGCTGGGAGTACGTAGACGTAGAGAGAAGTCGGGCCGAGAGGAAATGCCCCCTAATCCAGAAGAGCAGCAAGAATATCCATGTCCCTAAGGATGCCAATGCGAATAAGATCAAAATATGAGGCACAATACTAACGCAGGGGCCTTTGCGGGGTTTCTCACTGTTCCTTGCCCTCCCCCGCTTCCCCAGGTTTGCATTGTTTTTTATTATAATGGGGGTTATGCCGAACTCCCCGGATGAAACCATCGCAACTTTCTTTTAATATATATTCCACCTGAACATGAAATTTCAACTCTCCTGCGTCTAGTCAAGACCTAGCAGTAATTAAACAATGGCCTCCAAGCAACCCAAGCCAAAACAAGCATGCGACAACTGTCGCCGCCGAAAAATAAAATGTTCCCGTGAACTACCATGCGACAAATGCAAACGGCTCCTTCTGTCCTGCTCCTACAGCGACGTCCTCCGTCGGAAAGGCCCCAAATTCCGCACCCTATATCCCCTAGCCCCGATTCACCCTCTCTCATCCCGACAAGACCCTCCCGAGCATATATATCCCGAGGATGCCGGCACCGGCGAGATCCCGGACTACCAATTCAACTCGCCCATCTCGCCAGAATTTATAATCGCGGACTCACAGTTCGCAGGCCAGGACTTCTCGGATACTTTTTCTCACCTGCCGCCCCCGGAACTCGTCTCGTCTCCGGGCTCCACGGACTCAACCGTCGAATCCGCCATTGGTTATGGTTACAGCTATGCGAGGCCGGCCGATCGCCGTCTCTCGCCGCAGATTCTGCTCGTCCACGTCAATATCTACCTCAAGTATTTGTTCCCCATTATGCCCGTGATCCGCGGGGACCAGCTCCGGCTAGATTGCCATCGGCCCGGGCAGCTGTCGACGCAGCGGTATGCTCTTTTGGTGTCGCTGTGTGCGGCTACGCATATCCAGTTGAAATTGGATGGAGCAACACATGTGCCGGATCCTGCGCGTTTGCAGAGTTTTGGGGTTGGACACTCGTTGATGTCTGGGGAAGAACTTCTTGCGGAGGCCGTGCGGGCGCGGCGGGATTGTGATCTTCTGGAAGCACTTAGCACGGAGTCACTTTTGACTTCGTTCTTTTTGTTTGCCTCATACGGGAATCTTGATCGTCAGGATCAGGCTTGGTTCTTTTTGTGCCAGGCTACCTCGTTTGCATTTACGCTTGGGTTGCATCGCGAGTCGACATATGCAGAGTATGGGGTTGAAGAAGCGGAGGAAAGACGGCGTGTGTTCTGGCTTTTGTTTATCACAGAGAGGTAAGTGCGACGCTTATGCAGGATCAATGAGGTTTGAACTGAGGCTGATTCGTAAACCGGCAGAGGTTATGCTCTCCAGCAAGCGAAACCAGTTATGCTGCGCAGCTCTATTCACAAGCCTCAGGTTCTTTGCTCGGAAGATCCTATCCTGGCGTACGGATTCATCAACCTGATCAACATCTTTGAGAATCTCACCCCGAACCTTTATGATTGGGTCTCCGCTGGTGGTGGAGATGGAATTTTAGAGAGGCCGCCAATCTCCGCCATCCAATCCAGCCTGTGCAAAGCTATTTCCCTGGAGGGAGTCCTTGAGGTCCAGCAGGTTGATATATTGATCACGCAACAGTGGCTGCAGACGATGATGTGGAAGCTGTCTATGAGCCATGCCAGACAACCTGGCTCACACGATGACGCAGTTTTGCCATTTCACCTACCAGTAATGGTGAGTAAATCCATGATGAGCGTGATTGGTGCTGCATCACAGGGGGCCGTTGATGCGCATGGGATTGGCATGGTAGGTCAATCCGAGATGAAGTCTTTTGTTGTGTACTGATTTGGATGTTATAGGAACAAAAGCTCTTTGATCTAGGATCCTCCGTCGCCGATGTGACGAGATCTCTTGGACCGAAAGCCGTCCATAGACTGGCCGAGTCGACCATTGACCCGAACGAGTTGCTGTGGGGTATACTTCACACGCTTTCTCAAATTCGTGGCTCGCCTTCGTATCTCTTCCCTACATTGCTGGATCGTTGCAGAACCGTGCTTGGACTCGACTGCAACATCACCACAGGGAACTTCCTTCCTATACTCGGCGCTGCTGTTCCAGATCAGTTGGCTTCATGGTCGTGCCAGAATGTCTGGGATTACGCTGCTAGTGCCGATGATATTGAGATCCATGATGTCGATGGCCAAGCCGAGTCAACTCATCCGCATGTGCCGCAGGAACTGGGTTTCGAAGATTGTCTCTTGGGATGATGGTGTATTGAATTTATGATGCGGATTATTTGTTTTGTGATACCAAGTGGAGTTTATTTAATAGATGGTTGTTTATGGAGGCATGACTGAATCATAGAACTATCAAATCCATGGCCATGAAGGAAGCTCAAACGGCAGCCAAATTGTCTTGGCATGTTTGTCTCGGCATTGAATCTCCAATTTGGTGATCAGCTTCATGGGCTTTCTCCAAGACTCTTCTCAATTGCTCAGGATATCTTAGTGGTATGCTCTCTATTGTTTCTAATATCCCTCTAAAGTACCCAGCTAACAATTCCTCACAGATAATCCTAGGGTCTCCGCATCAACTAAAGCTCACTAGAGCACCGGAGCTAATTCTCCATTGAACCTCAACCTCGCCCAAAACCAACACCATTACCTACAAAATGGCTTCCCTCCGACCCCGTACCCTCCCTCTCTCAGTCCGAGCCCTCCGCTCAACCATCCGCTCGACAAGGTCCTCACCAAACCACTTCCTATCCGCGCCCGCATCCGCCCCATCAACCCAAATACACCCAACCCGCGCGCACTCAACATCCTCCGTCTCCGCCGATGAACTCTCCCACTTCTCCTCCCTCGCCAGCTCCTGGTGGGACCCAATGGGCCCCTCCCGAATCCTGCACCTAATGAACCCCCTCCGTCACGAATTCATCGCCTCCTGTCTAGCAGAAGGAACCCCATCACCAGACCCAACCAGCTCCACCGCAACCCTCAACTACCTCGACGTAGGCTGCGGCGGCGGCATCTTCGCCGAGTCCCTCGCACGCACAATCCCACTCGACCCAACCGCCCCAGCCCCAACCCCAACCCTAGCCGCCTCAATGACGGCAATTGACCCCTCAACGGACCTAATCCAAATGGCGCGCGAGCACGCGCGCCTGGATCCGACCGTCGATTCGCACCTGCGCACAGGTCGCTTCAAGTACCTCAACACGACGCTGGAGGATGTACTTGCCGGCAATGCTGGTACTCCAACTCCCGCTTCGACTCCACCAAATTCCAGCTCCGAACTCAAACCCACGCCCCCACAATATGACATTGTGACCCTCTTCGAAGTGCTCGAACACATCGACCCGAAGACCTCAACACCGCTCAGCTTCCTGACAAACTGCCTGCGCGCGCTCAAGCCCGGCGGCTGGCTGATTGGGTCTACTATCTCGCGGACGCTGCCGTCGTTCATCTTGAACCAGGTTATTGCCGAAGCGCCGTGGCCGATTGGTGTTGTGCCGCGGGGGACGCATGAGTGGAGTAAGTTTGTTAACCCGGATGAGGTTAAGGGGTGGTTGCAGGAGGGGCTGATGCGGGCTGCTGATACGGGTGTTTCGAAGGGTGGAAGTGCGGTTGCGGAGGGGATGAGGTGGAAGTGTGTGGGTGCTGTTTATGTTCCTGGGATTGGGTGGAAGATGGTGCCTGGTAGTGAGGATTGGGGGAATTATTTCTGGGCTGTCAGGAAGGGAGTTTAGATGATTTCGAGGGAGGTATATGTATTTATACTTGCATTTTTATGAGCTGTTTGTATATTATTTGATGGTTGTACTCATTGTAGATCGAATGTATTTCATAAATTCGTATTCGTTCACTCGTTTCTATAGCATACTCGGTACACCTCGCTAAATGCATATAACTAACCATGTCCCTATTAGGGATACAGCAAGAGAATACCCAAGGACACCCTTCACTCCCAATCCCAAGCAAAAGTAACACCACCCAACCGTATACCTATTAGGACAGCAAAAGCAAATGCAAAACTTCTCCAACACCCAAACTACCTCTTACCCTTCCCCTTCCTCTTCTTCTTCGAAGCAGCCGACGGCTCAGGGACAGAAACAGTCCCTTGCTCAACTTCCTCACCCTGGCCCTGCAACCTCTGCGTGCCGCTGATAAAGAACGTCAAATCGCGATTCTGCTCCGCGAGATCCGCGTTTGCAGCCTTAAGCCCATCAACCTCCTTAGCAAGACCCTCCAATTTTAACAACATGTTCCGATTCATGGCCTTCTCCTCTTGGAATCCCTTCTCAAACGAGCGAGCCAGGGCCTCAAATTTCTCTGCTCTTTTCTCCGCGCGTGCGCGGTCGTTTTCAAGTGACGGCAGCGTCTCAATCGTCATGACATCATACTTGTCTTGTAATTCTTCCAGACGCGATGAAGCGTTAGAAGCGTTGACTTCCGCCACGGCGGCGGCGGCACTAGCCTGCGATGCTTTGTCGACGGCGCGCTCGACGATTTCTTCGAAGTACGCGCGCTGGCTTTCGAGCTGGCTGGTGAGAAGGTGTGTGTATTCGATACTCATGTTTTCTAGTTTCTCGCGGGGGACGGCGTCGCCCCAGTCTGGTGGGTCCAGGGCGCTGTAGTCTGCAGCGGGTAGCTCGAGAAGCTTGCCGTCTGTTTTGTTTTGGATGATGCGATGGACATATGCGTCGCCTACGTAGTCCCATACGCGCTGGGAGGTGAGGTCCATGGAGAAGGCGTGGGCTGTTTCTTTCCAGTGGGAGAAGGCGTGTGCGTTGTCGTAGCGGCCGCAACCGATCGTGCCGCAGATTAGACAGGCCCAGAGGTTTTCTTCTGAGTGGCAGATGCTGCATTGTTGGGGTTCTTCGTCTGGTTTCAGGGATGCATTGTTTTTGCGGTAGTCATCTTGTGTGTATCGGCATACGGGGCAGCCGCTGCCTTTCCATTTCTGGAGACAGGTGCAGTGGAAGACGTGTTGGCAGTTTATTGTTAGAAGCCCCGTAGTTTCGTCCATTCGCTCTAGGCAGACGGGACAGGTTGGTAATTCGATTAGTGCAGGGGTAGGTGGCGCGAGAGGTTTGCCGGTGAGAGTGGCTTGTCCGGTAGATGATACAGGTGCCCGAGAAGGGGTTGGGATGTTAGAGAGAGCGCCGTGCTCAGCAGATGGTGTTCCGGCATCCACGACTTGGATTTCGACCGTCTTCACAAACACCACATGGCAGGTCTCAGGCTCAATACTATTGAACACATGCCCATTCCATTCCTTCTGCCATTCCTTCGCCTTCCGTCCACTCCGGAACTTCATCAAGACCATATATCGATTCGCACGCGCAGTCCTAATCATCCGGAAATGACTAACGTCATCCATGGTCTTCTGTCCCATAAACCCCAAAAAGTCCGGCGGTGACAGATAAGACGGCACAGCTAGAATACATAGTGTCGTACAATCCTCGTCAGGACTTTGCGTAGCGGAGGAACTTGTCTCAGGAAAAGGATATTCTGCAAGACCCGCCGCCCCAGAATGTTGACCACCCGCCGTACCGGTCAGACCCTGCCTCAACGTTGCCTGCTGCTCACCGGGTTGGCGGGCCGCAGCTGAGGAGCCCTTCAGATAGGCGGGGTACTCGTCATCGTTTCCGAGGTAGAGCGTCTCCTGCAAATCGCGGTACAGGTGTACAATTCCCCAGACGCTGTCGGCAAGGTCGTCATCGAGTGGGATATATCGGCCTTTTGTACGTAGGCCGCCTAGGATGTCTGTGCCGATGCCTGCTGCGACGAGGTTTTCTGGTTCTGTGGTAGATACGGAGCCACGCTTCGAAGTGCGTTTGGGCGGTTGCTTTGGACTGACCATGTCAATGCACTCGATAGAGACGGCGCCGAAGCGCTTGTCGTCTTCAAGAGATTGGGTGCTGGTTGAGGAGCTAGTGGAGGGGTTGTTGGAGTCGTAAGAAGTGCTGGAGGAGGGAGGGCGGGGTGGGATAGTTGTGCGGGTGGAGAGGGTGGATATCTGGCGATGCGCCAAAGTGTGTTCTAAGGTTAATAGGGTTTGATTATCTCCCGCGGATGATAGGCGGTTGGAGGTTGAAGACCGGCTCCGTTTTTGGAATGGTTGGAGAGCTTCCCATGCGGATTGTAGCGCGAGAGAGGAACCCTGAGAGTTTGGCGCGTCAGACGGGCTGTGAGAGAGGAGTTGCAAGCTAAGGTGATAAAAGTAAGCGGGCATCCCGGACGATAGCTCGCATCCTCTGGAGCTTGCGATTGTGGTTGGAACTCGTCGAACGAGGAAGTCGTTATCACGATAACTAACTAACTAGAGAATGCATGATTACTTAATATTTTATTCTCGCCCGCTTCTGCGCCATACGCCACAAATGGTTCCTGGCACACGAGAGTGGCAAAGAGGCAAAAAAGGGATTGAGAGTCTGAAGCGTGGTCTGGCTAGAACGCAAGGTGGCGAGAAAATGGTGTGGTCGAATAGAATTACCTAAAAGACATATGGGTGTAATATTATGCTAGAAGGATATCTATTTCGGTAACATTTTACGTACCATTTCAATTCCAGTCAAGAATTAGTATTACCCTACAAGTGCAGTACAATGAAATGGCATGCTAGTAAAGACTAGTAAATATTGCTAGAGTGAATTGACGAGAACTATCTATCATAAATGATGATAAGGTGGGCAAAGTAAAAGAGAGAAGCCGTCCTCAGGAAACACATTGCAAGAAAAGAAGCCTCAGCCTCGAAAACCGACTAAACGCCATGCAGGTCATGTAGAACCTATCGAAGTTGAGAAAAAGAATCGTAAGTCAATTACTGGCCACCACGCAGACGCAACACCAGGTGCAGAGTGCTCTCCTTCTGGATGTTGTAGTCCGAAAGAGTACGGCCATCCTCCAGCTGCTTACCAGCGAAGATAAGACGCTGCTGGTCAGGAGGAATACCCTCCTTGTCCTGAATCTTGCTCTTGACGTTGTCAATGGTGTCTGAGCTCTCCACCTCTAGTGTGATAGTCTTTCCGGTCAAAGTCTTGACAAAGATTTGCATACCACCACGTAGACGGAGGACAAGGTGGAGTGTGGATTCCTTCTGAATGTTGTAATCGGAGAGTGTGCGACCGTCCTCAAGCTGCTTTCCGGCAAAGATGAGACGTTGCTGGTCAGGGGGAATGCCCTCCTTATCTTGAATCTTGGACTTCACATTATCGATAGTATCGGACGACTCGACTTCAAGTGTGATAGTCTTGCCAGTGAGCGTCTTGACGAAAATCTGCATACCACCACGGAGACGGAGAACCAAGTGCAGAGTGGACTCTTTCTGGATGTTATAGTCGGACAGGGTACGGCCGTCCTCCAGCTGCTTGCCGGCGAATATAAGTCGCTGCTGGTCAGGAGGAATGCCCTCCTTGTCCTGGATCTTTGACTTGACGTTGTCGATGGTATCGCTGGACTCAACCTCAAGGGTGATGGTCTTTCCGGTCAGGGTCTTGACGACTGTGGCAAATGTTAATCAAGAGAAAACGACAGTAACGTGAAAGAAGTCAACACATACAAATTTGCATACCGCCGCGGAGGCGAAGGACCAGGTGGAGAGTGGACTCCTTCTGGATGTTATAGTCGGACAGTGTGCGACCGTCCTCAAGCTGCTTTCCGGCAAAGATCAAACGCTGCTGGTCAGGGGGAATGCCCTCCTTGTCCTGGATCTTTGACTTGACATTGTCGATGGTATCGCTGGACTCAACCTCAAGGGTGATGGTCTTGCCAGTGACTATAGACAAAGGGGTGTTAGCAAGGATGTCCATGGGTTGAGTGCGAGAGAGCCAGTGGGATCCAGGCGGTTATCTCTCGATAAGGGGGTGTGAACGTACGAGTCTTGACGAAGATCTGCATGATGGGCTTATTATTTGGGACGTTGATTTGAAGATAGGGTTGCTCAGGTGTGAAGCGAGCTGTGGGTAATTGTAGATTGAAAGAAGGGAAAAGGTCGAAGAGGGGAAACAGTGTCCTTATGTAGGGAACCTTGGAAGGATGAGGGGGCGAGGTGTCTTAGTCAGGCGCAGGTGACGCCCGTGAAAATGCCAGAAGATGCCGGATGAGTCAAACGGTGCCTGAGCATAGACGCCACTTGCGAAACCAACCTATATTTGATTGGATATAGCCTACAGATAGACTATTCTTAACATTATTAAGATTCTATAATCTTCCAAGGCTGTTGAGGTCTCTTATATCGCCTCATATCCCTCAAGTCCCCTTTGTCCTCCAGATCCCGAAGTGATGACGTTGAATTGCTTATCGCCAAAAGAGGGGGTGGACCTATGATGGAGACGCTAGTGATCAGAAAGTACAGGGTACGGGGCTGTACACGGCAACTGCTGCGGTCTCCCGGGTACCCAGTACCCGCTTCCAAACTTAGTATCAGAGCCGGATCCGGGTTCACCGTCTTGTTCGTCTTTTTATAGTTCGATCAACAGGAATCTGGAAAAAAATGAGAATTCAAGTTAAAAGACTATCAAGATATAGAGCATAAAGCCCGCAATGTATAAACAGAACGCTTCCGCAAATATCCTTCCGACGCCCCTTTCCCCGGCAAGAAGATATGCGTCAACCACCACAAAGAATGTGACGGTTCGGGGATAAGACAGCCTGTACACCCTGCTCAGGGCCCTGTTTTAACTTGAATTGTTGGCCTGTTCAGTGACGGGTGCCAGGTGCCACAAAAAATGAAAACAAAACAATCGAAACAATTCGGCCGTACACGGTCATGACATTCGTGATCCTCGTTCATCGCTGGAGACAAAGCTATGCGAAGAAAGGTGTACACCAAAGACAAGAGCAAAAAATGTCAAACAGGAAAGTTCAAAACAAAGACTTATGATCAAGGAAAAATAAAGAGGTAAATATGACAAAAGACAAAACCAAGAAAAAAACAAGGCTCATAAAAGACTGGATCAAAAGAAAGTCGGTTCGCTCGGAACAACAATACAAAAAAAGGGCAGAACCTCGCTGGGAGGGGGCCCGTCGGATTCTTCGTTAAAGAGTGGAAGTGCGCTCGCATCGTTACAACATTGGTTCGCATGTTCTCAGTGTTAATATTGAGCATTCAAAACGCAGTCGCAGAACTGTACTCGCTGCTGGAAACGGTAGTCGTGGTAAATATCATCATCATAATGCGTTTGCGCATCGGGGTCGTTGTCTAGTTGGCGCGAATGACCAGTCGCGACACAAATTTATTTGAAAGGCAGTCGAAGTCGCCACGGTTGAATTTCGTGCCGGTGCGGCTGCGAAGGTAGGTTTCTGCAAGACGGGGTTAGTTTCGGAGGTCGAAGTCGAAGATCGGGGAGAGTTTGTGGCTTACCATGTTGCTCGACATGTTGGCGGACTTCAGTCATGGTGTTGCAAACATCCGGGTTGGAGTACAACAGCTGGTGGTGCTTTTGTGAATCCCACTCGGTGAACGGGGGCAGCTTCTGTGAGATGGCCTGGAACAGTCCGACAATGACGCCCACCGGGGTGGTTTCCATGTCGGTGCAGAACTTGTCGACGGCAGCCGCGTCTGGTGTGCGGTAGTGGCTGTCGAACTGCATCTCCTCCCACACGGCCAGCAGAATGGAGGCCAAGATGAAGATTGTCGGCCAGTTCTTCAGCTTGTCGCCGCTGTACACACTTGAATAGAGTGCTGACAGCTCCTCCAGCACATCCTTCTGCAGCTCACGCCACATGCTAGCCATGGCACATTTAATCTGGAAGTTGATCATGACGGGGGCCATGGTCTTGCCGGAGAACTTGGAGCCCATGTTCTCGATCTTGCCGAGGAAGCCTTCCTCCTCACCAATGCCTTCGACCATGGTGACATGCATGGTAAGGTTGTAAGCAACCACCAGCTTGAGTGCCTTCCGGATAACGGGCAGCTTAGTGCGGAAGTAGAAGCGGAAAGCGGTCTTCAGCATTTGCGTCAGGAAAGGAGTGCCCTCGAAGTAATCATCGACAAACTTCTCAAAGGTGCCATTGCCGTCGATGTGGCGGTCAAGGTAATCAGACAGCATCGCGTGCGAGATGCCCTCCATACCAGCGGAGAGTTTGGCAGTCTCGACCTCGTATTGTGTTGGATCCCGGTGCATCGACTCGATCCAGTCAACGGTGAAGCACTGCTCGTCCCGGACATAGACCTCGCGAGCATTGATGGGCAGGATCTGTCCGTAACCGTGGGTGATGAACAGGGTGCGTTCTTGGTCCGAGAATCCAGTAATGTTACCGACAGAGAAGCCCATAGTGATGTGGCGCTCGTAATCTGCCTTCCAGTCCTTCATGAAATACCCAATTTCCTTGATATCAATGCGAGTACATGGCACCTGCCATAACCGGGCGTGCGACGGTTGACATCCTGCACAAGGCTCGCCCTTGTCACACGTCTTCTTGAGGAACTTGCAGCGCAGACACGCGCGCAACTTCCGTATCTCGCTGGCCTGTCGGCGCTGGTCGGGCTTGAGGGGACCCTTTCTCTTGCCAACACGCTTTTCGGTCTCGGGCTTGCCGGTTTGGGACTGCTTGCGAACCTTGGTCTCGGCGGTCTTGGCGGCAATGGGGCTCTTGCGGGACGGTTTGCGGCTCGGCGGTGAGGCAGATACTTGCGAAGATCCAGCTGATCGGGCCGGGGACGTTGATTTCTTGAGCGGGACCGGGATGGGTCGCACCATGCCGATGGGGCTGACTGCAGAAGGCGAGCGAGAGCCTGGCGAAGATTGGCCGTGGAGGACGATTGCGCTGCTTGTCGGGGAATTACCGTGCATTCCAATGGAGCTGCTGTGACTGTGACTATGGCTGTGGTTGTAGCTGTGAGTATGGCTATGACTATGACTATGCCCGTGGCCATGGTGATTATAGCAAGGCAAATCCATATTGTTCTCAGAACCGGGAGAACCGATCGGATTTGTGATATCCACAAAGCTGCCGTATGATGTGGAGTAAGATGACTCTGAAAGACTGCGATCGTGCAGTGTCTGGGTAGGGTTGACGAAAACACCTTGTTCGGGAAAACCAAAATCGAGAGAGCGACGGTGGTCGATAGTACTCCAACCGTTGTCGCTGCTGGACAGAGAACGGACTTCCAGATAAGTATCGGTGGGCGAGCTGCTTTCAAGAACGGAGTGAGGGGCATAAACTTCCGGAAGTCCGTTGGGGAACGTCATCAAATCCGTCTGGAAGTCCTGATACGAGAAGGGGACCATGTCGACTGGCGCAGACATCGGCAGATAAGGACCATCGAGCAAGCCGGCGCTCATCTGGCCCTGGGCCGACATGAGATCGACGGGGGAAGACTGCATGGGCATGCCATAACTAGTGGAATACTGGGACGCCGAGGAGGGGTCTTCGGAGGAATATGAGAGGTGATGGTGGTGATGAGGGGTGTGTAGCGGTTGAAAGTGCCAATCCACCATGAGATTTGGGTCCTGAGTCACCGACTGTTCTAGAGGGTGACCGCCAGTTTGCAATGGGGAAAGACCATGGACCTCTTCTGACCGTTGGGGCGCTTGATCTAACGTTATAGGCCATGATTGATGCTGAAGATAGCCTCTGGAGTCGTACTCGACGCCAATCAGGCCATCATTGGATATATCGACATTGGACATGACTTTTTTGGAGTCAAAACGATCACGGGGAGGTGAAATAGAAGGGGAAGAAAAGGACCAGCCTGGATGAGAGGGCCTTCTTCAGAAGGGTGACACAACCATCAAGAAGAGGGAAAGTGAGGCGGTGGGGGGGACAAAGCAGCGGTGAGCGAAGAAATGCGCTAGGGGAGTTGATTGTGGAGAGTGGAGGCTGGCTGACGGCGTGGAGGGAACGTTGATCCAGTATTGGACGATGAATTAATGCCACGGCGGACTAGTGTCGAGGTGTTTTGCCTCGGGGGGAATTGGGATAGGAAGGATGAGGAGATGGAGGGGGAAAGAGATTACGGCGTGCCCTTGTCTCTGTACGGAGTACGGAGTACTACTAAGTAGTGGTGGAGGGGACGGCAATCCGGAGTTCGCTGATCCCATGATGTTCTTTTCTTCTTTGGATTCTTTCCTAAACGGGCAAGTTGCCTTTTTTCTTTTCTTTTTTCTGTTTTGCTTCTTTTCTTTTCTCTTTTTATGTGCGGAGTACTACTATTTTCTATATATCCTAGGTATCTCATATAGTATAAGTATAACATATCTCTGTTATAACTATTCCATAAATATTCCACATATATTCCATATTCCTAGGCCATAACTGAGATCCTATTATAGAAAATCATCCCATAAAACCGGACCCGGGAGATCAGTGGGGAGGAGAAAAACTACCTGCGTGGCAATAAGAATTGGTGAGATCTGACAGTCGGATCGTGTTATCCCCAAATTAGTCCGTTGAGTCCTTCCTAATCAGATCCAATCAGCTCCCTGTCTGCCCACTCTCATGCCCGTGATTCGGTTCCCTCGACGAAGTATGCATGCCTCAAAGGTATTTAGTGGATTTCAGCTGCTGGCCATACACTAGGGTGTTTCCAAAAGGAAATAATAAATCCGAAATCATAAAAATAGGGCTAAGATATTATTGCACGGACTATGTCCGAATCCTGTTGAGATGCCAAGTTAGCATCGTGAATTCTGACAAAACAAGAAACTGGACACGTCCAGTTTATTAAAATTCAGATCCTGGGGGGCACATGCAGCAAGGGTGTCATGTAAGCACATCCATCTACTTGCGCACCGGCGTGCATGGCGTCGGATCCATCACACATATATAGTAACTATTTTCTGTGACATGCAGGAGCTAGCACAAATAGCACAAATAGCACTATGTATTCCCTGCCCACGGGAATGCCTATCTCTAGTTAATAGGTCTCGAAAAGAAATACTCCGTCCTCCGTAGTCAAAAGTAAAACCAGACACGTTGTGACGATGTCGTCAAAGATAGGAATTCCGGTAGAGATCGAGTGGGGAACAAAGAATCATTCTAGGCTTTTCTACATTCACATTCAATCTACAGAACAATAGTAAGAAAGTCCAGGTTACAATTCTTTGAGCGTCAAATCTCCAAAATACCTCAGATCCCATTTAATGCCGCTCATCGGGAGACCTCGAAAAGTTCGATTTCCGAACGCACACAAATCCAACACTAAGAACCGCCCAACTTCACCTTTATTAATTCCAACAGCCAGGACAACCATGACTTCAGCCATGAATCCAGACTCCAACCATCCGCGCCCGGGGATCCCGGCCTTGTTCACGCAACCGCCACCCATCCGCGACCCGCTCATCACGGAGACCATCGATCTGCAGAACGCGACGCTGGAAAAATGCTTGCCATTCTTGAAAGGCATCCACAGCACCCAGAAGGACTTCAACGAACATGGCGTACCTGCCCTGCAACGTGATATCCACGCCAGCTTCCTCTACGATGCCCTCGAGGATTATCCCGAGGGGTTCGTCGCCATGGATGCCAGCCGCCCGTGGATTGTGTACTGGGCGTTGGCGGGGCTTGCTATGCTGGGCGAAGATACGACTCGATTTCGTGAACGGTGCGTGCATGCTTTACATCTTACTCTTTTGGGATTTATTTTCTTTATTTTCCCTTTCCCCGCCTCGTTCTCCCCCAATTTGCTTTTTTTCCTATCTGTCATATCATATCCACAGAATGGAGAGAGAGCCCCTGGAGGGGATATACCCTGATTTCGGAAAAGATCGTCTCATTTGTACAACGTGGAATATGGGAAGATGCCATTCTGAACTTCTATTTTAGTGTGATTACTACGCTTCGGCCGATGCAGAACCCCACAGGTGGGTTTGGCGGCGGCCACGGCCAGACATCCCATATAGCGGGCAGTTATGCTGCTGTTCTATCGCTGGCTATGGTTGGAGGCGAGGAGGCCTTTGGATTAGTGGATCGGCACGCGATGTGAGTTGTCACTGGCAGCTTTCTGCATGTACGTCTGGTGTGATCCTGCGTCTAACCCGGTTTCTGTCTTTTCCAGGTGGCAATGGATCGGCCGATTGAAGCAGCCTGATGGGGGATTCCGTGTCTGTGAGGGCGGGGAGGAAGATGTACGGTAAGTGGAATTCCTGGGCCGAAGCCGCTCGTCAATCCCCTCCCTTCAATGCAAGATCTGACATGTCATTAATGCAGTGGCGCATACTGCGCTATGACTCTTATCTCGCTACTTGACCTGCCCTTGACGCTTGCTCCGGGCTCTCAAGCGCGGGAGGCGGGATTAGAGAGTTTGACGAGTGGTCTTCCTGAATATCTCTCACGATGTATGATTACTGGTAGTCTTGTTTTCAAGGCTTGAGATGTGCTGACGCTCGCCCTTAGGCCAAACATTTGAAGGAGGTATCTCCGGCAGCCCTGGGGCAGAGGCCCACGGAGCATACGCCTTTTGTGCTCTGGCATGTCTATCTATCTTGGGACCTCCCGAGGAGATCTTCCACAGGTGCGAGGCTAGCCCGAAATACTCTGTTTAAACTTTGTATGCTAATGGTTCCTGCAGACACATGGATATTCCTATGCTAGTGTCGTGGTTGTCCGCCCGCCAGTCCGCCCCGGAAGGTGGTCTTTCCGGACGAACAAATAAGCTAGTGGATGGATGCTACAGTCATTGGGTTGGCGGATGCTGGCCATTGCTTGAATCTTCGCTGGAAGGGAAGCCAGATAACACCGAGCCACCAACCACCAGCCTTTTCAGCCGCGAAGGTCTAACCCGATACATCCTTGGATGTTGTCAAGGGAGCGACGGTGGTCTTCGGGACAAACCGGGCAAGTATGTTCACTCCTATTTGTGACAGTTCTTTTTTTGTGAGCTAACCAAGACTCAAGGCATGTTGATTCATACCACACCTGTTACGTTTTGGCGGGATTGAGCGCGACTCAAAACCATCATTACCGGACAGACTCGAGTGTCGCAAGCAACTTCACATCATCATTTTCCTGGAAGTCTTCACCAAGCCGCGACAAGGCTAATGTGTTTTCAAAGGGTGATCGGCTAAAGCCAATGCACCCTTTGTATGTGATCCCGCACAAAGCCGCGGAGCAAATGCGGCTCTGGTCTGAGGCCCAACCCCTCACTGTCTAACCGGGAGGGGCGGGAGCCGATGCCAGAAAGAAGATGGGACAAAGCGCCACGACGGATGAAGTTTCTTTGAAAAGTCTCTCGAGAACATAGTAAATTGAAGCAGGGTGTCATTGGCAACCAGGGACTCCGAGCGAGTACGTTATGCATGATTAGTCTTGAGACTGCAAGCCCCGCGGTCATAGCAGCGGTCATGGCATGGGAGCCACGAGGATTATTTTTCGATCAAGCTAGGGATGATGCTGTGAATGAGACCGAGACGCAAGGGGTTGGGTTCGGGGCTCGAGTATGGCTCTACAACATGGTCATAGCACATAGCACCAATTCCTTCTATTTTTTGAACTGACTGTTTCACCGATTTCCGGAGTCTACAATGTCCTTTTGCGCGATGAAGATTCCACCTTTTCCGCCGTTCTCACTGGTCCTACGATGTACATCATAATGTGTTTGCCACCAAAGCTGCACGAGGCCCAAGGGGGAAAAAGTAATCGTCAGTACTAGAATATGCAGATAAATCCAACGCCTTTCCCCACTGCAATGCCAGCTCATCACTGCAGTCCGATGCCTGTCGAGTAACTGAACTTCCTCGGAGCGCATGCAATTTCCCATTCTCCGATATTGGATGTATTTGATCCTTTCAACCTTGATTGACTCATGGCCCTTTCATAAACAATTGACCCCTCTTCAGGCGCGTTCTGCACAACATGAACGGCCCCTCCTTGGCGCCAATCAGCATTCGCAGACCTGCGCGTCTCGACACCCATAAGGGCGGCAAATTTAATTGCACTTTGATGCGTGGGGCGAAAATGAAATGAAGGGATCACCCCGAGAAAGCAATGTCAACGAAAAAAATAACCCGTGTACAGAGCATAGTACCACTATAGCACCGCTATTCCATTCGAACCACTCCGGAATACTGGGATCCATGATCTTCAGGTATTACCTTCTGCAAACAGGTTGCAAGGTCTCCCTTAGTCCCCGAGAATGTTTATGCTTCGATCGGCGAATCGCAGGGGCATTACCACGCAGTTCACGGTGCCTTCCGGTGCCTCATAACTCGGTTCGATTCTACTGGCAAAGAGATATGCCAGCGCATCATAAACCCGCCGAGAAAACGACACGATAATACCTCGAATACCCGTTTGAGTTAATGCCTCTTTCTTTTGGGGGCCTTTTCCGAGGTTCGATGCGAGTCAGGTTTGCGTGCATCCATTGTCTTCTCTTCCCTTCTTGTACTTTGTTTACTCGATGGAGGTAGTTTATACTCGGATTCCAGATCCATGTCCTAGGATCTATCTCAAGGTTTGATTGTTTACTTTTTTTGTTTGCTTACTGTCATTGTTTACTGTATACTTGACATTTTTACCTTCAATCTTTCAACGGTGGGTATTAGAATTGACTTTCGTTTAATACCTTTTTCTTCTTCAGGTCATCTGCATTGATACCAAATGTCCCCCTTTTCTTGTTGCTTTGTGCGCTGTCGCAATTGCAACCGTCTCCCTTCTATTGGTACTGTGTACACCGGCCAGCTCGCGGTATGACTTGGGAATGGTATCAATGCAAAAGCCCCACCTGTTTTCCAGAAGTAATTATGTATATGGCAAGAAGCAGCTCTCTTCCCCTCATTAATTTGTTTTTCTTTTTTTCCTGTTGTACGGAGGAGGTGGGGAGGGCGACTCGGTTCTAGGATTTGTATATGGGTGTGGAATATTTCCAATATTTCTTCCAAGGTTTTGTTCTCAATCCCTCTATCGCTCTCACTCTCGCACTTTTTATTTTTATCTTCTTCGAATTAGACACCCTTGGCCTTTACTAGTCTTAAAATCGTGCTTTTTTCTTGGAACGCCAGCACATCCTCCCCGCTGCTAGCAAAGCAAACGCGGTCCCCCTAGCCGTTGGGCATCACAATCCGCATATTTTCTGACCGCAAACCAGCTGGAAGCCAGCCTTAGCCCTAAACCCGTCTCGCTGCAAGCCAGATCCGTCCAATGCGTTCCGAGTAACCGTCGCAATTCGTTGCAGTTGGACAAGTGGCAACGCCGTTGCCCGTCGCCATCTCCAGCTCTCCTGTCTTTCTCGCTTTCGGCTTGCATCCAGTCCAAATTACAAGATGTACTATATCCTCTACCTGACCAGTATGTCGTCACTCTCCCCACTATCACCCTCCCCGAGCTATGTCTGTCATACATCTTTGCAAACACAAGCCAATATCCAAACCCCGGTCCCTGGATATCCTACCTCCAAATATATACCCAATGCAAAGAAGCAAACACCGAAGCACTACCCAACACAGCCCAACCAATCCCAGCTACCTAAAAAACAAACTAACCAGATCCAAACCCCAGGCCTCTGTCGTCGCCGCAACTGGCCCGAACCAATCTACAATGCCTATATAAGCAACAGCGGATACACCTGCACCGTACGCGTCAACAACCGTGAGTACCGAACAGACAGTATCTGCAGCAACGAGACGCTGGCCCGGGAGAGCGCCGCTATGCGCGCCTACCTCATCTGCCGCAACTTTTCCGTCAACGACGGCATGTACCCGGCGGGCCATGAACATGGCGGCGCTATGCAGGGGCTGCGAGTTGCCATTGGTGCAGGACGGAAGGTTGCTCGTGAGGACGATGTGCTTTCTTTAGGGTCTGTGAGTGGGAGTAGGAGTGACAGCTCGCAGGGCGGGAGTTGGAGTGGGGGGAGTAGTCCTGCTAGGGTTGGGATTGAGGAGGATGGTAGGGGTGGGTTTGGGGGAAAGGTTTGAGTGAAGGTTTGAAGGGAAGAGGGTTACGATTTTATGATATGAATGCTTATGACTACGCCTTTTTTGGTATGATTGTGGATTTTTTAGAGGGAAAAGTCGATGACTCTGATTGTGGTTATTGTTCGCTATGGAGGTGGTATGTTTGGACTAATGATACGCTTTATCTAGATGGATTTATTTTTTAAGAGTGTTTAGCGATAAATTATGCTATGAGGTTGTTTGATTTTGATACCTCTTGAATGAATACTCTATAGGACTCGTCAATTTGTGAACAACTGGCGTACATTGTAGACCTCAGTGCTTAGTTACCTGGACTATTAGCTGTTAGTAGTATTCGTCGAGCCATTCCAAGTTGCCTTAGCGATCTACCCTGGAAACTTATATTCCTCCAATTCTAATCATCTTAGCTTACAGTGCTTGCATTGCCCTTGAAAGCGACAGCTAAGATAGGAAATCTCCTGGTAGAGTAAGTCCGATTTTGAACTCCCTAAGATTATATATTTAAATCCAAGACTGTACAGGAGAAAGAAAGTGTAATGTTCGGCACTCCCTATAAACGCCAAAAAAAAGCAATATACCGTTTGAATTGTGGTCTATGCCCACGATTGATCCCGTTGTCAAATTCGTCACCTCATTCGTCGAGTCGAAGCAGTAGATAGTGTAGTCACCTGTAGTCGTAGTCTATACCCCTTCACTTCTATTCAATTACCGGCTTTTACCAAAGGTCCATTGGGTGGCCTCGGGATATTGTAGTCTCTCGCCCTGTCTGCTCTCATTGATAGTGAATGCACGGCATTATTTCTGTCTATAGAGATCCATCAATGAGTAGCATCCTGTAGAAAGCTCCATTGCGGTAATATATGCATCCACACAGGATCGTTGGCTCACTTATATAGGATAAGATCATACAGACGTCAACCAAGCTCATGCTAATTTGGTACATGGTCCTTTACTGCCACCGGGACATGCCAATTTGATAGTAGAGCTCTAGTAGAAGCTCTGCCTCGACAGATCTAAAGAGTTTGCTAGGGACGTATCCATCAAAACTGTAATTGTCGTGAATAGGAGCATAGAGCCGCTGGATAATCTCTATATGCAAGCCCGGTCTTCAGAGGATACCAAGTGCTTCCCATGCCTGCCTCTCATTTTCGATAATATCCGTGCTGGTGCAGGTGTTGGATGATGGTAAGAATGAAGAAGGTAAGTAAAGATAAGCCGTTGAAGGATTGAAGTGTTGGATTGATAGTTAGAATGATGATTGATGCTGAATATCGGAAGTTGACGTAGTAATTGCCGACTATTGAAAACCCCAGTACTCGATTAGCTTTTTGCACTCGAATGGAATAATATCAGGGGATCTGAACCTCGACATATTTTGTTGCATTGTCCGTATCTGCGGGATTAATTCACCATGGAAGAAGACCGCACGAAGACAAAAAAGACCCCTGGAGACTTCTGGAAGTCAAAAACCCCTATTCAGAACAAAGTTGTGTCGACAATCAAAGCCCTAGAAGCTCGTTGTTATTGATGAAATCATGTTAAGGGGAAAGGGACAGGGCATCTAGAAGAAATAGCAAAAGCCCGCTCTAGTATAATACAGAGAGATGAGCAATGAATAGTAAAAGCAACCAGACGGGCTGTGCTAATCACGTGTGAAGGTGAGGCTAACGGTAGTTAAGTGAGGCTGACTGTGTTGCGGCTCAGCGAGCGGGTCCCCTGGATCCACCCGTGGTTTCTCTTCTTAGGCTTCCAAGGTCACCTACCACAGTTTCCAAATCACAAATATTTTCCAGCCCAGCTGGTCAACATATCACAGCATCGAAGCAACCTTGAAGCCTGCATCTGGACTTCCACTACTACTCCGTGCCATCGAAAATGGAATCGCAGGAATCGCAGATCCATGGTCTCGCGTGGGAGAAAGAACTCTTTGGTTCCGAACCTCGATGGACTCTTCAACCTGGAATTGGGGCTATAAAGCAGACAGTACAGTCGCTTCGGCCATCAGGCACAGTCGAAGTGAATTTCCTCGCCCAGGGCGGATTCAACAAGGTCTACGATGTCAGCATAGACGATGAAGTGTTTATCATGCGGATCGCATTGCCTGTCGATCCACATTATAAAACCACGAGTGAAGTGGCAACAATGGATTGGGTACGCCGTATCACAAATCTCCCAATCCCAAGAGTTATCACCTACCAAGCTTCTCGAGACAATCTGATTGGATTTGAATGGATCCTCATGACCAAAATGCCTTTAAAGCCCTTCGCTGATTTTTACCGCTCTCTTCCCTTCGCTGCGAAGGAAAGCCTAGTTAGGAAGCTTGCAGTGATGTCGGCTTGCCTTTTTCGAAATCAATTACGCGGAATTGGAAATATCTATGGGGAATCCTCCGTCGATGAACATTCATCATCGAGTGAGCAAATCCCGCCGCCTAGAGAGCTGGTCGATACCAAAATATCAATCCGCGCAAAGCAATCCGGCTCAGATGATGGTAGCGCACCCATGAGGAAGAACTCGGGAGCTCCTCTATTTAATCTACCCGATAGAGTTTCTTCAGAAAGAGATTTACCTAATGTTGGCCGGATTGTTTCTATGCAGTTTTTCTGGCGTACACACATTCACCAAGATGCCCACCGGGGCCCATTCCGCTCAAGTAAGGACTGGATCACAGCTCACCTTTTATTCAATGAAAATGACTGTTATTCGGCCCTGGACAAAAGTTCAGCTGGAGACCTTGATAGTGACGACGAGGAAGAAGTGGAGGACGCTACAAGGACGCTACCAATAATCGGCAAACTCAGGTCTCTCCTTCCTCTAGTCTTTCCAACGGATGATGATGATATGATGATTCAGAACCTTCAATGATATTCCACCATGACCTCTCACGCCACAATATTCTCGTTGACGACAGCGGGGAGCTGACCGGCCTCTTAGACTGGGAGTGTGTTTCAGCGGTGCCTTTATGGATGGCCTGCGACTATCCTACTTTTTTAAAGACGCGACCACGCCCAGAGCCTGGTCCTAGAGGCTATGCACCCGAGGAGAATGGAGAAATCAGTGAATTGTACTTTGAGGACTTATGGGACTATGAGGCCACTCTCTTGCGCGATGTGTTCATTGATGAGATGAGAAGACTAGATGCAGGATGGATGGAAGTTTTCGATAACAGCGAGGTCAAAATGGACTTTGGCTGTGCAGTGCAAGATTGTGACTCGGTCATTTCTGCCAGGGATATCAATGAATGGATCGGGGATATCACTGCTGGTGTAAGCAATCCGCGCAACTTGCACCAAAGGTATTATGGTCTTATTACCTAGGACGGGTAGGACCTTTTCTCCTTACTAGGATTGATATTCCTTCCTCCTCCCTCTATCTCAGCGAACAGCTCAATTCAATCCATGGTTTTCTTCCCATTTCCATTCTCTACATGTATTCAATGACCGGTCTCTAGACAGCACCGCAACAATGACTGTATTCGGTGGCGATGGCTGCACTCTCTCTAACTTTCATGTACCGATATCCATATCCAAATAATAAAGAACAATATCTTCACATTATTCACAGACAAAACTACACCAAGCCTTTAGGCTGAGGAAAGTCCGTTTAGATACAACCCAATGTAGCCATCATATCCACACAAAAAAATAGTAAGTTTTTGCATCCCTCTCGTGATCTAAATGGCCTTATTTCGATAATCGTGTCATATAACAGGTTCCTATAATTTGAAAATGTCCTCATGATTTGCTCACCATATCTTCTGCCTTGGCTTCTAGAGACAGATGTTATTTATCGGGCATCTCCACTTGAGTTTCTTTCTCTTCAATTTCGTCATGCGAACTCGGTGGTTATAGCCCAATTTAAAGGCCCTACCTACTCAAGATAGTTGTTTATCGACTACGAAGAACGTGACTAGGTAAGATGAGCATGACCATGCAGTGAGTGAAATACTAAATCAAATTGGAACACAAAACAATACTCATAGGAAAGAAGTAGATATAGTGTGTGTGCGATCTCTTTAGCCCCTTGATGAGCTGAAACTCGATGCCTTGTCTGCAGAAGGTTTCGGAACACCAATCGAAAGTTTCGATCTTATAGCTATAGGCAATCGGCACACTATCTGACGTATAAGGCATCTAAAGACCTACTTGTATATCAGCTGAGTTTCATACCGGAATGTAGCACAAAGCGAGAGATCACTTACACTCTTTCATCTGGCCGCATTTGATAGAAGCGCCTGTCGGATCTGCTGGGGACTCCATGATCCGTCGGTGGGAACCAGTGCCCTTGCCACACGAATGTTCTGTTTTCTCAGCGCCGAGTCGATGTTTCCCTCAACGTAAATGTCGTGGTATTCACCGGGATGGCTAGTTGTTGGCTATGAACAGTTGAATGTTAGCTCCGTAAATTTCAAGATACCCCAAGACAGCAGAAAGAAGGGTTGGTAGCCATACTATTTCATGGACCAAAGTGAAGTTTAGATCCTTGTACAATGCATAAATCACATTTTTGAAGCCCGACAGCTTGTCATCTGGAATGCCGGCGATGAAAGTTTGGAGAGCGTTCTTGGCCTGCCCCATTGTGTAATGATGAGCTAGGCTTGAATGTGCCGTAAAGAAGAAAATCGATAACTTTAAAATAAAACCCGTGTTAAGTGAGATGGGTTATTGATTGAGATAATTACAAAAAGTGTTAATTGTTCGAGGTTCTTATAGTACACTGGAGTATTGCAAGTACCCTAGCGCTTTATCTCTGCATGGGGCTGGCGATAACTGAAACTCCAACAATGGTGCTAAGTAATTCATTAGTAGGTTCAATATTTGCAGAGTACTGCAACCTTGAATGCTTCGGGCCGTGCCAGCGCGTAAACTAGATTTGAGGTTTATCGATAGGCCACGAATCAAAGAGGGAGTCCTCCCAAAATAGTGGTTAGAACAAGTCTACATAGGTACATGAATAGATAATAACAAAGGATAAATATAGAAATCTTTCTCGTCCCTTGGCAAGATATCGCTTCGGGACTAAAATAGCACTAATGCAGAGCATCACCCACTGTACATTGCCATACGCGCCGGCCCCAAAATCCTGGAAACCAATCAGGCTTAATGGCTACGACCATTATGTAGATGTGGTAGAGATGTAGATGATCCCTATTTTGGGTTCCCCTGAATCCTGCTCGCAAATGCCCTTCTAAATATATAGTATTATAGAAATTTGAAACAACCCCTACATAAATCTCTGAAGTGGCGCCCTTTGAAGCGCCTATGCACATATGTCAAGTTTCAAGACTTACTTCCAGGTTTTGCATGTTCTTTTCTGAATCTAGGACAATATGTAGCCTAGAGCAGTTGCAAGACCCGAACATGACTAGAATTGATTTCATTGTCGCTTGTTTTTAGAAATACTATGGCATAAACTCATTTATTGATAGTTGCCCTCAGAGACAGATGGCACACCCTTCCCTTCCCTTCCCGTTCAAAATTACAATAATAGAAAGGAAGGGTACAATGTACGTTTATTACTTCCATGTACGACGAACTATAGTGCATGTATACATCCGTTAATGACAGAAATTACCCCAGAATGGTATCCATCTTGCATGAAACTCGCTGAAATACCTAAACATCACATTTGATCTATTGATAGAAGAGATCTTGTTCATTGCTGGATGATTTCTTGAGTTAAAACTCTCTGTGTCCGTTATGCTGCTATAGCCGAGGTCCTCAAACATAGGGACTGGCTAATTACAACATAGTGAGCGTGATACCTGTCACATTGTAGAGAACTTGCTTTTGATGGCAAAAAAACAAAGTTCATGTTTTTAATGCGTCATTTCCCCACAATCTCAAGAAAGCAGCCTACAATGTACCCCGACCCGAATTACGCTGTTATTGTACAATATAGAACAGCTTGGTAAGTGGAGAGATTTTTCCATCATCGTACATGTAAGAACAAGTAATCCTCCCTTTCATTACATCACAAAGCTGGTTACTCGTTGCTCGGTTCTTCCAAGGTTGCTCGTTAGATGACGTCAGAACCTGAGCCCTGCTACCAAACGACCTGCCATTTACTATAAGAAGCCTCTTCTGCTTCTGTTTCCCAATTCCTTTATCATACACTTCCCAAGCCTTCAACTCAACAAATACCTGAAATATCCAACCTCATTCCAACAACCTCGTCAACATCAACATTATGGAGACCGCCAAGGTTCGCCTCATCCAGTCTCCGCATAATATGTCTTGAGTGCTAATATCTGACATCAGAACGCCGTTAACTACGTCGCTGAGACCGTTCAGGGCGGTGGTGCTGAGGCATCGAAGGAGACCAACAAGCATGTCGCCAAGGACTCTGATGCCAGCTTAGGCAGCCGAGCCACCGCCGCAAAGGATGCCGTTTTCGACAAGAAGGACGAGGCGTCGCACAACACCAAGGCTGATGTCCACAAGGGTAAGACTGAAAATCAAACAAGGTTGTGGCATGGAATCAATGCTAATGATATGCAGAGGCCGCTAAGCACTAAACGGGTGCTCAAGCAATTGGACTGCTGTGGGGATAATGAGATACCTTTTTTTGCTAGCACCCAGGTGGTAGAAAGACAAAGCTCTACCTGTACAATAGTTTCAGATGACCTTTATGCCAATGAATACTTTATAATTCTCAATATCTTTAGTCTTGCGCGCAATGTGCATACAAGCTTGCTCTTGCTTGTCTTCATATCCCCATTATCTCTGTAATCGAAAATTTACTGACTTACAATAACCACTCCTATGAATTGAAGACCATATCTGAATAGGGTTAGCATTAAGATGTAAAGCCATCATTGAATCCAGAGTGCAACGTTGGAAAGTTGGAAATCCGGGGATTGACTTCAGCTGATCAGACCCATAATGACGTCACTGTTCCAAGATCATCTGCCAAAAGCTTAAAGTCTAGGAAAGCCGTGGCTAAACACTGAAAATAATTTACCTTCGTCTAGCAAACTGGAGTCTCGCCCTTCTCTCGCTTGTGGGATTCAGCCCCTGTTTTCTCAATCATGCGCCATTCATGAGCGGATCGAATCCGAAGTACCTTGGGAGATCAATCTACAATCGACCAAGACATTACGCCGATATCCTTGTTTGAAGTAGAGGCGAGGTCCACTAGTTTGTCACGCTCGCCGATCCTGACGTAATCATCATTCACGAAGCGCAAATAGCGTGCGCGGGCGATATCTCCTGGTCTAGCCTTGTCAAGTCTTAGAGTGGTCGCCGTTGCGTCCCATATATTGCTCTCTTTTCCTCCTACAGCAGGCCTACTAGAGGAGGCACTATAGCACCCGCATTAGGAAGCCCATTACCCTCCTCGGTGCCTAGCGACGCATGTCCATTACGCTATCCATCATTCAAACCTCTCCTAATATAGCGCTTTTACAGCCGTGGGGAATTTGATAATGCCATTTCTCGCTACTCCCGGGAAGATCAGCATCCGGCTATCTCTTTGAGCTCACTAATAGACACCCCGGGCCCGTTGACGTTGACGGAGTTCTGAAGAAGTTAGACAAAGCATGTTTTCCAACCGCTCTGCCCGCATCGTCTAGGTAGCAATTTCAATTTTAGCAGTTTAGGAACGCGGAAAAGCCTTGAGCCAAAAAGGCATATTGATAATTGTTAGTTAATAAGGATGATGACTATACCCTTAGATCAAGTTGACTCTAGTCAATATTGAACAAGAGGTAAGAACCATGTCCGCACTGTTAGGGGGCCCCGGACCCTAAATGGGTCCTAAATATGACGGACTCTTGCATTTCTTTTGAGCATCAGGCTAGCTATAAATCCAATTCATCTTTTCGTTCCCCACCCAATTTAATCATATTTATGTGCTGAGGGTGAGCTGTCTAATCGGCTCTCTTCTTGCCGCGCATGATCTTGCGTCTTTGGGCAATCATGTGCGTGTACAGAACATAAGATCCTGGTAGGTAGTCAGTAATCAACACCATGAACACTGTAAGAACAACATACCAGGCACGTAGATCACGAGAATCGCAATCAAAAGGTAACGGAAAAGCGGGCTGAGCTCGCCAGCAGGTCCAAGGGCCTGGAAGATAAGCGTGCACTCGCTCGAGATCCCAATGGGGTAGAAGATGTAGAAAGTGTTGTACCTAGTCAATGCCAAACTCATCAGCCCATGAAACACGACAGAAAAAAGAAGACTTACCGCAACCAAGTCCACCAGCTCGGAACCGAGTTCCCAGACAAGGTAATAGCAAAGAACCCATAACGGATAACCTCCGTAATGCCCCAAGCAAAGACACACCCGAGATACGCATAATCACCCAGCTGGGTAGTCCGCCCAGCACCAACGATATCCCCACCGAACTGTGCCATAATTCCCCAAACCAGTAGCAGCCGACTAGAAACCTGCATGGCTGTCGTCATGAACGGCGCGCGCACGAGGCCTACCACGCTGTGCAGCACTTCCAACAGGGCGAGGGACTGGGTGGCCAGCAGTAGCGGGGAGAAAGTCTGGCCGAAGACCTCCGGGAGAGTTTTGGCCGAGACATTGGCTGGGAGGAGGGACGCCGTGTAGACGACACAGGTACCCCAGGCGAGGAGGTTGACGGTGTTGTAGGTGAAGAGGTAGGCTTTTGTTAGACCCGAAGAGCCGGAGCGCGGGGCGCTTGATGTTTTGACTGATGCCATTTTTGACCGGAATTGCTTCTTGTTGGGGTCGGGGAGGCAATTGGTGATGATGTTGCCCGGAATGGAGGAACTGGAAATGTTGATTTGGTTGGGAAGCTCGCGATCAACAAAAAAAAGACCGAGGTCACGGTTCCTTACGTAAGCATTCTGGAAGACCTCGACGAAGCTGTGGAGAAAAAGCGTTTGAGATCTGGGGTATAGCGCATCTTTATTTTGTTGTCTGTTGAGTTTTCTTGGACGGCTATGCAAGATTGATTGAAGAAAAAGAGAGTATCACTATAATTTTGTTATTCAGTCGGGTGCTACATGCTACTACGCAACCACCCTTTTAAGAAGTCAGCCATGCAGTCTCTCTTCTTCTCACCCTGAATATAATAGCTATGCAAAACAATTTCAGAAGCCCTCTGCCGAGGAATAGTCTTTACGTGATTCGCTCACAAAGTGCATGTGTCGGCAGCTAAGTGGATGACTTCCCATGGAGGCGCTCTTGGCTGCTAGGGTTACAAAGACTAGCTGATCTAGTCCGGTCTACTGCAAGAGGATGCTATCTTGTATGCAGCAAACATGCGTAGTCTGGACTCTGGTCTATTTTGGACTCGACTGGTTTTGGTGGGTTATCGGAGGGATTGTTGTTTGATTTGAAAGCTCGGATTTGGGATGAAATCGGCTAATTTAATCGTTCCTGAGAGAGAGAGAGAGAAAAGTAAATTGAATTTATAGTCCACTTGTCTCCGATGCTATCTACCAAAAACTGATTCACATATCGACGAAATCGATAAAATTTGCATTTCTTACATTTGTACTCCGTACTCCGTACATACTACTACCATGCATTTGTTCATAGGCGTATGCGGGCTGTCGTCGTAGGCGAAGCCATGATGTTATCCTGCATATGTGGTAAA